GACGTTTGTGCTTAAGGTGCGTGTGTTTTGTGCTTAAAGTGTATGAATTTTGTACTTAAGGTGCGTGAGTTTTGTGCTTAAGGTGCGTTGGGTTTGTGCTTAATGTTAGTAGTTGTTAAAACTTAAGGTGCGTGGGTTCCTTCTTAAGGTGCGTCAGCTGTGTGAAACTTAAGGTGAACCATTTTAAAACCTTAGGTGCGTGGTTTGTGTTCTTAAGGCGCTTTGTTGTGTGCCTAAGGTGCGTTGTTTGTGTTCTTAAAGTGCGTAATTTGTGTTTGATAAACATTATTTTTAATAATTTCTTTATAGTTAATTTGCAATAATTAATTAATTTTATATCTAATTTTATTTAATATTGTTATATTTAGCTTTATAATACTGTTTAATTTTGTTGTTGTTTTTGTTATTAAATTAATTTTGTTATTAAAATTTGTCAGTCCAATAATTTCCTAACCTAATAATAATAATAATAATAATAATAATAATAATAATAATAATAATAATAGTTTATTTATACTTTGTCAGTATGAGTTTTAATAATTGTAGGATTTTATTGGTTCCAATTTATATTATTGAAGTAAAAAATAATTACTCCGGTAAATCCTCGGTCTAAACAAAGGAGTTGATCTCCGTGCCAAGTCGGATTGGCGACGAGTTCTGGGCGTGAAAACTGTTCGGCGTGGTAGCAGTGAATTGAGCAGCAGCGAAATACATCCTTGATAGCAGCACATTGTCCCTGGTTCTATTTCCCTTTCTTCAAATTGTAATTCGCTATTTCACTTTGTTAATTTATCAAATTCTAGTTTTAAGCTTTATTATATTTAATTTTCATGTTAAGCATTGTTTTTATTTATGTTTGTTCGGCTTTGGCGTTATAATTTTGCAGTAGTGAATTCCTTTCTCAGTTTTGACTTTGTAAACAAATTTCTGGGCAATTTTGGTTACAGCTTTTCTCAATAGTAACACGGGTTTCATCTCTAGTTCTTTATTTATTTATTAACTTGTTTGCAATGTATGTTTTCTTGCTACTTGGAGAATGGAGTATTGCAGTTAATTGTGATGTACAATTGGTAATTTACTTGTTTTTTTATTCAATTATTCATTCGTTTAGCTTCCTGAGATTTGATTCAAATTGCATTTAAATTGATCATTATCTTTGGCATTTTATTCTGGTACTTTAAATTTTCAAGTCAATTATTTCTTTTTAAGTTTAGTTGTTAAATTGCATTTTATCAATTCCCCACAGGTTCGACCCTCGCTAATGCATACTATCACTATAACTGATTCGTGCACTTGCGAGGACATAAATATTAAAATTGTCCATCAGTGTTCTTAAAAGGTTTTGTTCGTATGCTTAATGTTTGTATACTTAAGGTGCGCCATTTTAATGCTTAAGGTGCGTCCTTCGCACAACTGCACGGGAACCCTTCCGCGCACCTGAACCCTTCCTTATATAGGGGGATAAGTTCAAGTGCGAAAAGGCTCTCAGGTGAAAAATGGGGTAAGATTTGAGTTGTTGATCAAATCTAAATGAACAGCTCAAATCAATAAAAATTAAAAAAAAAAAAAATGTACTTTGTAATAACGTAATGTACAGAGTATAGCGTTCTAAGTTGCAAAATAAAGTTGGTGATAATTAGGGCGGGTCTAACATTTACGACTTAGATTTAAAATTTAGCTATTTCATTGATTTTTTAAAATTTATTCATGTTTGCATATTTAGTTACGTTGTTACAGATTGCATATTTAAGTGTTGAAGTTTGCAAAGTGAAGTTGATAATTACAAAAACGTTACTGCATTTTTTTATAAATATAATATGATCCTTTCGATTTTCACATATGTAAGACTGAAATTGATTCTTAGTTTTCTCCTTGAGGTGTGTTCTCTTGGGATCAGTCTATCATATATAGTAATTACATGATATAAAATTTTGAAAGTCAAGGTTGAAATGTAAGAAAATTATAGAAAAAAGTTATAAACTGTAGTTTTAGTTCATGAGTTCTAAGGAAGTATTTTTGTTCCTAATTAATATGGCATTGCAATAGTATTACTTTGTAATTGAGGGTAATTTAATATCTTCAAATAATATTGCAGGTACTTTTTTTCGGCCATGAAAATCATTTGTAGTGAGAACTTTGTTGCGTGTTGTTCAATGTTATGTCCAAGAAAATTAAATTGAATATACCAGTACGTTACTATCATTGAACTGTAATTTTTCAAAATTAATTTTTGACAGTTAAATTTGAAAAAAAACCGACTACATATCATTGAAAAGAATGATTTTTTTATCTGATCAACTGATATATGTAATACAAGTTGGTATTGAAAGAAGTAGATGGAGGGAGAATCATTGCTAGCTTAGTAACTATTGAAGTTTGGAGATGCAATGTTTGCATGTTGGGCAAATTATTGTGTGGATGTGGACCAAGCCACAAAACGACGTCGTTTTGCCATATTAAAAAAAAAATCGCTGCTATTCGCTTAACGCCGTTAGTAACTTCGTTTGTCATTTTTTCCTTTCTTCTCCGGCGATTTCCCTTTTTGTTGCGTTTCTCTCTCGATTTTCTTCGCGATTTCCTTTGATTTCTTTCCTTCAATTTTGCTACGGTTTCTCTTTCTCTATAGATTTGCTTTTTCGATTTTCCTGTGGTTTTCATTCCTCTCGCGATTTGCTTCTTCGTCGTGGTCTGTGATTGAATATTCATCTTTAATCATGGATGTATTGGTGATATGAACAATAGAATAGACGATGCGAATGATTTTGAGGATAATATTACAGGTTTTTGCACTATTTTTATACATTTTATGTTTCGTTTTTCATGTCTTTTCAATTTAATTTATTGTGTATATTTTTTATGTATTGTAAGTGATTTGAATGTTTTGGTTAATGTTGATTCGATTTATCCAATTGGTGTTGTTCTTAGTCATGCAAATCCATGTTTGTGATTCGTGTATTGCAGTGAATGTGTTGTGATTAGGGTTTGTTTAGTCGTTTGCATAGTGTACATTATATGTGTTCATTATGTACATTATTTTAATGTATAATGTACATTATTTTCATGCATAATTTCCATTACCTTTCAATTGATGTCACTTCTAGGGATGCAATTGATAGGAGCTCACTTACCGTAGTCCTTGCAAGTTCTTCAAATGTTATTGATGAAAGTTCGTCTATTCAAGGTTTTTTTTTATTAATTAGTATTATTTTAATTATTGGTAGTTGTGTATCAATTATCAAATGATCATGTTGCAATGATTCGTATTGTATTATTTTTTTCTTTTTTTTTTTTTTTTTTTTTTTTTTTGTGTTTATCTTATGTTACAATGAACTATTTTTGCCCCTAGCGTATATTATTTTACAGTGTTGGTGTTTAAGTGCATCAATATGAAAATTTCATTCAATCTGAAAATTTCTATCTGAGATGGGAATCTTATGCTCACATTGTCTACGTATTCTCAACATTAACTGTGTTGGAACAATACCTAACCAATATATATGTTGAAGGTGGACAAAAAGAGTTGTTGAAGATAGGATCATGGATATTTCATCCGGTTCAAATATGTTTACGGTTGCATCTTCAATTTGGGTTATACAAATGGGTATGAAGTTCCAAAGATTAATTAATTATTTGAAGTCAAGATAACTGCAAAGCATGTCAAGTTTGTGAGGCGGATTTTATGATTTTAGAAGAATGATTGAAGTTGAGGTTGGTCCTATTAATTTAGAAGAATTTGAAACACCCTTACCAAGTGGTGTAATACAGAATCTTGTACGTAGAGGTGTGAAAGGAGACCGTAACCGAAGGTTGGTTAATACATCGCAAAAGAAGCATAATCAAGCTAGAGCTCGAATGAATTATAGCAAGACAATTGAATCAAACACAATGGCTGCAGTTCAACAGGTTGTTTCTGAGATTGTTGGTAGTGGATATCTTGTTTATTCAAGTGGTAGTAGTAGTTCAGTTGGTTTGTGTTAGGTCGGGATCTCAAAATATTTCAAATGATAATTGACTGTAGTTGTAATAGAATTTTGTAGGATATAGACTTGATTTAAAATTCCATGTTTGATGTTTTGGAGTGATGCACTTTATTCTAAAATATTATGTTCTTTATGTTTAAAATTGGTTGGTGAGTTGATTATTGAGTTTGAATACAACCAGTTGGTGCAATTAGTAGTCCACTGAAAGGCCTAGGCCATCTATGTAGTTCTTTTGCTATAATTTACTGAAAATGTACATTATTTTTGTCTTTAGTGTACATTATTTTTGCCTCTAGTGTACACTATTTTACAGTGTTGGTGTTTAAATGAATTAGAATGAAAATTTCATTCTATCTGAAACTATACATTATTTTTGTACTTAGTGTACATTATTTTTTATCCTAGTGTACATTATTTTATAGTGTTGGTGTTTTAAGTGCATCAGAATGAAAATTTCATTCAATCTGAAAATGTACATTATTTTTGTCCTTAGTGTACATTATTTTTGCCCCTAGTGTACACTATTTTACAGTGTTGGTGTTTAAGTGTATCAGAGTGAAAATTTTATTCAATCTGAAAATGTACATTATTTTTGTCCTTGGTGTACATTATTTTTGTCCTTGGTGTACATTATTTTTGCCCCTAGTATACAATATTTTACAGTGTTGGTGTTTAAGTGCATCAGAATGAGAATTTTATTCAATATGAAAATGTACATTATTTTTTACCTTAGTGTACATTATTTTTGCCCCTATCAAAGTTTGACAAAATTTACATCATTTTGTCACTGCATAATGCACCTGTCAACCTTGTTAAAAAAAGTAAAAAACCAATGAACCAAAAATTAATATTCCCCCAGCTATAGCAACGTACTCAAATTTGCTAAACATTATTTGTCACTTCAACATTTTTCCAATAAACCAACAATCAAGCTACTCAAAACTACACATTTGTCTTACTCAAAACTAAATAATTGTCTTTTCAAGTACCAACAGTTAACATTCAATGTCATTTTGAAACATAGATTTCTCTTGCTTTCTTAAGCACTTCCTCTTTGTTCTCATTGATTGGCAGCAGTAATATGCATGAAGATCTTAGGAAAATGGCCTGCACATATATTCAGAAACAAATAAAAGTTAATATATATGTCTATTCTTAATAAGGAAATAATGTAAACTAAGGGCAAAAATAATATATATTTTCAGATTGAATGAAATTTTCATTCTGATGCACTTAAACTGGACACTGTAAAATAATGTACACTAGGGGCAAAAATAATGTACACTCAGGACAAAAATAATGTACATTTTACTTTGTTGAATGAAATTTTCATTCTGATGCACGTGAACACCAACACTATAAAATAATGTACACTATGAGAAAAAATTATGCACACTAAGGAAAAAAATAATGTACATTTTCAGATTAAATGAAATTTTTATTCTGATGCACTTAAACACCAACAATATAAAATAATGTACACTAGAGACTAAAATAATGTACATTTTCAACAAATTATGGCAAAAGAACTGAATAGGGACTACAAAGATGCAAAGTCAGAACTCATAATTGAAGTTCAACATTCTGTCTAAAGTTATATTCTTAAAGAGCAACCTCTTAATTATCCACTATATTATTACAACTCAGAATTGACAACAATGAACACAGAACACAATAAAGAAAAGGTAAGACCTTAGAAGTACTATCTAACAATTGTGTTACAACCAAGCAACAGAATCGAATACTGAATGCAAAAATCAAATTAGAACTTCGAGGACCTTAGACTCTAATTATACCATTAGAAAAGATCATTCACAACAGATTGCAAATGCAAGGACTCTTAAAATCTCTTAATCCAAACACTGTTTGAACTTAATTATAAATTCTATTACTCCATTCCGGAATTACAGCACATAAAGAACTAAAAATACTTCATTCTATAATAATTTAAATAACGCATTATCACATATCATGCAACTTTGGTATGGAAACAGCAAGAAGGGAAAGCTTAAATAATTGAACTCCATGCCTACCTAAGTCCTTCAAATGATTCACTCTGGTAACAGGGATGATAGGGGCAGCCAGAATGCAATGCAATGCAGTAACTATGCTCATAACTTTCATAATTTTCGCCATTAAAAATCAATCAAAATGCAGAAAAGTACAGTGTACAACAATAAATCACAGAAAAATGGATCTACAAAATGCAACAAAAACCCTAGGTATAAACCACTATGAAGGTATAAACCCTAAGTAGAAAATAATGTACATTCATGTTGTTTGAAGCTCTAATAGGAGTGGGTGTGTGTTTAATAAGAATAATACCTTAGGAATCTGTGCAGCAATGAAGGTTTTCTCTCGTTTCAGTAGTGTAGACGACGAAGCGTAATGGAGACGACAAGCTAAGGCGCAATGGAGAGGACGAAGCGGCGTATAAACCCTAGGTAGAAATCAATATTAAGGTATAAACCCTAGGTAGAAAAAAAAATGTATATTCATGTATTTGAAGCTCTAATAAGAAACAATACCCTATGAATCTGCAAGAATGAAGCTTTCCTTCGTTTCAAGAGGACGAAGCGCAGTGGAGAGGACGAAGGCACGAAGTGGCGAAGCTCTGAACACATGTCGGTCTTCGTTTAGGATTGTTGCTGCTTCTCGATGAAGCTGCTTCGTTTAGGATAATGTTAACGTCGCCGTCTCTTCTTAAAGAAGAGACGGCGTCGTTTAGGATTGTGGTCCACACAAGTTGTGTGGACCACGGTCCATGCAATAAGCATTGTGCATGTTGGATGCCGGCCTATAAATGCTTGGACCAACACCCCTTGAATGAACCTTAATTTTGGCCTTCATTAATAATCATCTCTTAGGGTGTACTGTTTGGTTCGCACATGAGAATCAGAATCGTAATGGAAATCAAATACTTGGTAATGGTAATGGATTTTGGTGAAAGTATTTTGCATGTTTGGTAGTATGGTAGAATTAGAATGATTACTAATATTGTTGTTTGGTTATGTATGCTCTTATAATGGAAATAAAGGTTTTAAAAATACAAGAACAAAAAATCAAGACAATTTATTATAATATAAAGACATCCAAAGTACCAATATGAACAAAAAAATAAAAACACTAATCCAAACATATAGATCAAATTACCAATTAAGAGGGGGAATAATAGAATGAAACTTTTATTTTATTAGGAAATAAATTTTCTAAATAAGTGGGTAATCAAATCTCATAGTAGTGTTCTAGAAACCTGCAAACAATAAAAATGACTTTGATTTCATTCTTGATAGCTAAACTCTTGAACCAAACACACCTTATTCTTTCCTCAATACTGCTCCGATCCAACCTGCTATGCTCTTCTTTTCCAACAAAATTGCTGCCACCAGGGCCGTATTTTAAATTTTGGTGGCCCTGTTCTAGTAAATAAATGTGGCCCTACTAAAATTACAATTTTTAAAATTAATACATGTAAGTTTCGAACCTTTGACCTCCAAGTTAAAATACAACAAATACACATTCTTACCATCTCTTCATGGAACCTTTTAAGTTTAATTAAAAACTTTTAATTTTTATTTATAAACTAGCTAGGTAAAAATTAAATATTGGACCTTTAAAATTTGGGGCCCCTCTAAAGTTGGGGGCCCTGTGCGGTAGCCCAGCTTGCACAGCCTAAAATCCGGCCCTGGCTGCCACCCTCTTCTTGCTTGGCCGACAGCCTCTTTTAAATCCTGACACCAGAGATGATAGCGATTACATTGGCGGTTGGGCATGCGATGAAATCCAGTGCTGCAAGTTGCAAACCAAGCATGTGTAAAAATATCACATTGGAAAAACAGAGAGAAAGGTGAGGGATGTTTATAAGACCATGAGTTAAAATAACTAACTGACTGAATAATTCAAAATTGTTAAGAAAATGGACCTAACACTACGAAGATAAAAAACTGAAAAATAATGAAACTAAAAGGTAGTTGAGAATCTGTAATCACTTACAACTATATACAGCATGCAAGTTGACGTTTAAGCTTTTGCAAGCCTGCAACCACTTCCTTCATGCAGATTCGTTCTGCTGGAGATTCTGAACAGCACCTTAAGGCCAATTCCATGATAGATGACAAACACTTGACTTTTCCACTTGAGGGTTCTTCATCTTGGGCAAGTAAATTTACATCAATTATATCAATTACTCTGTTGGGTATTGAGTCTTTAACCCAAATCTTTAGGCTCAGATTTTCAGAAAAAATCTCATTGGTTGGCTTTGTCCTTGTGAATGTTTCCATCAATAAGATGCCATAACTATAGACGTCGCATTTTGTCGACACTATGCCTTCAGATCCATACTCTATAGAAAATATTTAAAGAAAATCAAATTAGGAAAAGGGAAAGAAAACAGAAACAATGACAAAAGAATCTTCACCTGGTGCAATGTAACCCAATGTAGCAAGGGTCTTTGTGTATGCAATGCTATCATCACTACCCAACAACTTTGCGATTCCAAAATCACCAACATGAGCAACCATGTCCTCATCTAGGAGAATATTACTTGGCTTCAGATCACAATGAACCACGGGTTTTGGATAACCATAGTGAAGATATTCAAGTGCATATGCAACATCAATCATTACGTTCAATCTTTGACTGATGTCCAAGAAACGGTCTTGAGTATACAACCAGTCATCAAGGTTCCCCTTTGGCATGTACTCAAGAACCAGGGCTTTAAAATTTGGGTTTGAGCAATAGCCTAACAATTTAACAAGATTTCGATGGCGAATGTCGAACATTATCTTGCATTCGACAATAAAGCTTTGGAATGCACCTTCCAATTGCACATCAAACACCTTTATGGCCAAAATTGTTCCATCTTCAAGAATCCCTCTATACACTGTACCAAAACTCCCAACACCAATCACATTCCTCTCATTATATCCATCTGTTGCATGCAAAAGTGTATAGTATGATACTCTCTCCACCTCTTTAACACGTAACAATTCTTCATTCTTTGTATGCTTCTTTTTTCTCCAACAAGTAATCAACACAACTCCCACTACCAAAGCTAGGATAACGCTTGTAATTCCCAAGGCCACCAAAATATATCGAAGAATTCTTTTTGCTTTAGACCTTTGAACTACACTTTTATGGCAAGGTGGAACTCCAAACCTGGCATCTCCGCACAATGCTTCATTGGATAGAAAGGATAAGCTTGTGAAGTTTTTGAAAGGACCATTTGATGGAATTACACCACTTAAGCTATTGAAAGAGACATTCAAATGGTGCAGATATCTAATTGCCTGCAAGGAAACTGGAATTGAACCACTGAGATTGTTATGTGACAAGTCTAGTGATTCCAAGCTTAACATCCCATTTATTGACTCCGGAATTTGTCCATGTATTTGGTTTTGTGCCAAAGAAAGGTTTATCAAATTTTGTAAGCTTCCTATTGTGCTGGGAATGATGCCGGATAAGTTATTGTTTGACAAATCGAGGAGATATAAAACCTTCAGATTTTCAATTTCAGAAGGTAGAGCCCCACTAAAGGAATTTAAGGACAGGTTGAGCGTCAAGAGGTTTTTCAGGTTCCAAAGGTTTGAAGGTATTATACCATTCATTCTATTTGAACCAAGGTCGATATATCGTAGAGAAGTAACGTTCCCCAAGCATTCTGGGATGGGACCTGAAATTCTATTTTCGCTCAAATAAATTGCTCCCAGATTCTGCACCTTACAAAGATTCCCAGTTAGTGGACCACTTAATTTGTTTTCAGCCAAATTCAAACGTGCAAGCTTATGTAATGTGGTTGGAACCGTTCCACTCAAGTCATTGGCAGACATTTCTATAGTGTCTAGGCCAGTTAGATTGCCAACTTCATCTGGGATGGTGCCGTAAAACCCTGAATTGTGTGCATAGAAGTTTTGTAGAGTGGAAGACAGATTACCAATGGATGTAGGAAGAGTTCCATGTAGGCTATTACTACCCACATCTAGTGTTTTCAACTTTCTACATTTTGTTAGAGAAGTTATGAAACTTAATTCTGAATCAGATGCTAGTTTATTCCTGGACATTACAAGAGTTTGGAGAAGGCTAAGGTTTTCAAGAGAGTTTGGAATGGAGCCACTGAAATGGTTATCATTGAGAGATATAACAGAGAGTTGGGAACAATTTTCAATTGAATGAGGAATGACTCCACTTAACACATTTTCGACTAGAAAAAGTTTTTGAAGGTTGGTTTGTGCAGAGCACATAGTTGAAGGAATACTACCCAAAAGATGATTATATCCCAGACCAATTTTACGCAATGTAGTAATGTTGAAGAGCCCTTCAGGTATAGTACCACTTAGATTATTAACTTGGAAATTAATGAATTCCAATTTTGAAAGGTAGCTAACTTCTCTAGGTATCATACCTGTTACATAGCACAACATACAGTTAAAAATTGCAATAGAATTTTTAAAATTACTTTTAGAATAATAATATGCTTTTCAAACGTACCTATGAAGTAGTTTTCACTAAGCACTAACAATTGAAGAGATGATAAATTCCCAATCTCTCTAGGTATGGATCCCATGAGCTTGTTGGCCGCCAAATATAAGATTTGAAGTGATGACATGTTAGAAATGAATGTTGGTACTGAGCCGACAATCTGGTTTCTTTCTATGCCAAAGTTCTTCAAATTATGGAGATTACCCAATTCATTTGGAATTGTTCCTATTATGAAACAATAAACTGTACTAATTACATGCTCTGTCTCAACTTGAGGCCTTGTAAAATATAATTTGTAACTTTAGCCACAGTTTATACATTTACTCTCCATAATTGGATGTATCTAGTCTAGATAGAAAAACAATAGCTGAGGGGAATAGATAGAATTGACTTAATTGAAGTTATATAACTTAAGAAATTTAATAAAGTCAATATAGAGCAAATAAGATGCATGGAATACTACCTGTTAAATTGTTACCACCAATAATTAATTTCTCTAGCATCTCCAACTTCCCCAATTCTTTAGGTATCAACCCATCAAACATATTGTATGCCAAACTCAAAACTCCAAGTTTTGAACATGCAGATAAATTTGCCGGGAGTGGACCATTAAAGCCATTCATATATAAGTAAAGTATTTTGAGATTTGGAAGTTGATGGCATATGTTTGGAGGAAGAATACCTGACAAACTATTATTTGAAAAATCAATATATTCAAGTGTAGAGATGTTGAAGATTGAGTTTGGAATTGAACCTGTAAGGTGATTACAGTATGTGTCTATCACCTTTAAGTTATGCAGATTTCCGAGTTGTTGAGGAATTTCTCCGATGAAATTATTATTGCTCATATTCAGGGAGGACAAAAAGGAGAGATTTCCCAAGGAGGTAGGAAATTGGGCTAACAAACCCATATTTGAAATATCCAATGCCACCACCCTATGGTGTTGCGAGTCACAGTGAACTCCAATCCAATGGCAGATAGAAGTGGCAGTAGACCAGTTGGTGGCTAAGATATTGTTTGGATCATGCAAAGTGAGTTGGGCTTTGAGAGACAAAAGAACAGATACATCAGTGCTAATGTTTCCAGTACACTG